AATGTTTGGAGTATCCTAGTTTCTTGATGTCGTTCAAAAGTACTTTGGATCCATATGGACCTTTTGCCACACTTTGTAGGGCAACACGTGAGCAAAAAGATGCTTCGTCCATCGATCTCTGACAACAAGAATTGGTGCATGAGTCTTCTCGTCCAAAACTACGTCATCAGTCCGCGAGTTCATGAAACAGTAGTCTACAGTTACTACTGGGGTTGTCTCATCGGTGTGGTCTATCTTCCTGTGGGGGTTTGCCTTAGCTTTTCCCCTTACACAGGCCTCACACCAAGACCTAAAAGGAAAGTGTGAAACAGCATGCTCCTCAAACTCTTTTCGCGTCGGGCGAATGGGGGCATTGATTTTGAGCTCAGGCGGAACTTCGTCGCCTGGCTCGGCCTCTTCGGCCTGTTCGCCCACTACCGGACTTACCCATTGCGGTGCTGGACGAAAGGGTGGAATGCAATCGGCACAGAACAGACGCCGTTGGTGAACGAGATCGGGATCTTAGTCCCGTCTCGGGAGATATGTCCACCAGATCCGTGCATCTGAATGGAGCCCAACTTCAAAAGATGCGCCAAAGCATGTGAAAGATGCCGACATGGATCTGAAGCCCGAAGATGTGGCAAAGCATTTGAAGATGAAAGATCCAAAGCTTGAGACCGTCAAGAACGAACCTCCTTTCTACATGACAGCCCATATGCAGAAGATGATGGAAGAACAGGAGGAGGAAGATGAGGTTGGCCCAAAGACGCCAAAGCAAAGGCGCATTGCCAAGACACCTCCACCTCCTGAGAAGAAGGGCAAGACCAAGGAGGAACGCATGGCCTGGTTCAAAAGCTCGACTGAAGAGCACATGGAGCGATTCCGTGGACCAGGATCCAAGCCAGAGGAATCCAGCGAAGCGCCAAGGCAGACGCTTCGGCTGAAGTCCCGGTCACGATCCCCGGGCAAAAGCCGAGCCGCTTCGGCTCCGGCTGCCTCCGAGAAGGGCCAAGGAAAGGGCAAGCAGAAGAAAGTGCAGTTGACTCGAGCTGTCAACGTGGCCACTCAGGATGCTGCCCGTGAGGCCAAGAAGGGAAAGGGAAAACGATATCCCACTCCCTCAAGTGAGCCTGATGAAGGCGATGAAGATCCACTCGCTCTCAGGAGTTTGGAGCTGGCATCCATGGAGACGCCAATGGCTCATCAGGTGACCTTGGATTCAGGAGCCGCGACCTCCTGCATCCCTGTTGAACTGGCCACCGCATTGGGCTACAAGCCTATCCAGCCTGAAGGCACCTGCAAAGTCTACAAGACTGCCTCAGGCGAAGTGGTCAAGGACCTTGGCAAGATCGATGCCATGGTGACCATCGGCATCGGCCAGAACTCCCTCAATGGACGTTGCTGTTTCCGGGTGATGGCGGTTGCAAAACCGCTGCTCTCCGCGGGGGCCCTTATGAGCAAGGGCTGGTGCCTTGCTGTCCCTTGGCAGTCTTGATGCGCTTTCCCATCTCTTTCTGCTTGATCGTCCATTCCTTTGCCCACTGGTTGAGGACTTTTGGCGGGCAGCAATTCAAAGCCATATGGTGGTTCCATAGGCCGGTGTCATTGTCACACCTCAGGACCTTGTTGCACGCACGGCAAACCATGTTCTTGCGGCCATCTCTGTCCTTGTGGGTGCATTTGGCTACCCATTCATCATAGCTGAGGATGCGCTCTTGGAACATGTGATCGAGCCATGGCACAGTGTCTTTCTCTTTTTCTTCATCTTGTCCATCTGACTCATCGTCAGCTGGCTCAGTGCCATTCTCATCCTCTTCAACTTCATCTTCAAATTCTTCTTCTTCTTCAAGTCCCTCAATCTCAGTCACATCAAGGGGATTGATGTTCTCCATGACTGGGGCTGCGAAGGATGGTGCGCTTGTTGCTCCTTCGCCTTGGCTTTCGATGCGCTTCATCACGATATACTCCTCTGGGTTGAACCCAGCAGCAGTGAGCGCTTTGTCGATGACACTGCGGGCTGGATGGCTAGTAGCCGTCCATGTTTGGCTTTCCCGCTTCATCTCTGCCAACTCTTGAGTGGAGAGATCCTCGATCTTGGGCTCCTTCTCTTTTGGCTTCTCAAGCTTCTTTGCCTTTCCTGGCTTCTTGTAGCCACGATGCCTCTGGGCCCTTTCTCGACCTCGAGGCTGAGGGGCTTCATCAAACTTCCCCTCATCATCTTCATCATCCCAAGCTTGAAGTCGACCAGTACCCTTGGCACGAGCGATCTCATAGTAGTCGAGCTCCTCAGGGTAATTGGCCTCATAGTCGCGCCAGGATTCGAAACGATCCTGGGCCTTCTCAACGCGATGTTGCTCGGCGCGCTGACGGCTCTTCTCCTTCTTCTTGGCCAATCTTGGGTCCATGCCTGATGCCAAATCAGCTGAGAGCCTTGGCGACTCCGCCGGCACCGAAGCGGCGCGGCGAGGAGTTGGCCTCTTCAGCAAGATCTTGGCTTCTCTCTCCTTTTCTTCATACTGTTCTTTCAGCCTCTTCATCTCGGCCTGTTGCTCCAAGATGGCGTCATTGGCTGCTTTGCCTTTGGCTTCGGCCTCTTCGATGGCCTTGTGGATTGTCTCAGACTTCTTCTCATACAGCTCGCGATTGGACTGCATGGTCTCTTGGATTGCTTGGTTCATGACTGCAATCCCAGCAGCTGCAATTCCAGGACGACCTTTTCCAGCTCCTGGCTTCTTTGGCATAGCCTTGACTTCAGTCTCAGCTTTTGCCTTGGCTGCTCCACGAGAAATTGCGGCAGGTGCTGCTTTCTCCATCTCGATGGCAAAGAGGGTGGCGATGTCAGCGGAATACTCAGGCTCGGGTTGATGCTCTTGAGCCATAGAGGTTTCAGATTCCTCCACTGAAGCTACCTTCTTACTCTTACTCTTGCCTTTACCTTTAGAGTCTTTTCCTTTGCCACCTTTGCCTTTACCCTTGGAGTTTTGGTTGTACCAACTACTCTTGTTCCAATCATTCTTATACCAATCGTTCTTGTTCCATGAGTTGTTCCATGACGAGGGATTGGACCATGAAGAACCTTTTCCCTTCTGTTTACCTTTGTCGTTTCCCTTGCCTCCATCTTGACTCTTTCCTTTTCCTTTGCCGCCTTTTGAGCCACCTTTGCCTTTTCCTTTGGCTTTGGCCAGACTTGCAAGTGAAGCTTGCATCTGGCTGGCAGCTGCGGCTAGTGCATCAACATCCATTGGTGCTGATCCAGTCTTTGCTTCTTTTCGGCTCTCGATGTTCTCGAGGTAGGCCAAAATCTCTGACTTCATGATGGCATAGTCAGTGAGTCTTGAACTCTGGAGGTCAAGGTGATCTTGAAGTTTGGCTGGACACATCTGCTGAAGACAACTTCTTGCGATGTCATCATCAAGAGCTTTCTTCTTTCGCTCTTCGTACTTTCGCCTGATGTTTTCCCAGGCTTCTATGCTCTCTCTGAGCTTGTCCAGTGCACACTGTTGTGGGTGCAGGACCTTCTTCAGCAAAGCTGAGTTTGCTTGTGGGTTCTGTGGATCATACTTAGTGATCAATCGTCTCAAAGCCTCTAGGCCAAAGTGCTGACCTCTGGAGGTATTCTTGACAATCTCGAGGGCTTCCCCCTCACATAGTGAGATCAGAGCCTGTCGGGCCTGAGCTGAAACAAGCTCGGCTCCTTCAGGATAATCATCTTCCAGAGATGTCTCATTGATCTCTGTGTCTTGATGCTCTTCGAGGAGCTGAATGCACTTTCCTGCATTCTTGTGACTTGTCTCGATCCAAGTCTTGAACTTGAAGTACCATGAGTCCCAGGTACCTGTGTGTCCACTGAACTTGTCAGGCTTTGGAATGCCTTTCAATTCTGATCTGTCTCTTACTTCTACGCTGGTGGCTATGTTCTTTGTGATTGCCGTTTGTTGTGCATATGCTTCTGCCATTGCAATTGGCTCTGCCCCTGTGCTAGGGCTTGCATCATCTGTGCAAATTGTTGTGCCATGTCTGTGGCTTGTGGTGCCTGTGCTCCTGGCTGTTGCGCCATGTTGACTTGCTAGCCAGGGATTGAAGCAATCCGGCTTTCCTGCAAGTGATGCTTGTTTTGTGGATCTCCGGCGCCAGAGCCGATGCGGCTCGGCAACCTTCGATTCGCAGACGGTAGCCGGGTCTTAGAACCGCGGCTCCGCTACCATGAACGGAGAATTTAGGCTCTTAAACTCAGTGACTTAGGGTCACAGTCCCAAAGGTTGTAGTTGAAGCTTAGGCACACTTTTAGCTCAAACACGCGTGAGCTCTGGTATCGAAATGAACACAAAAGTAAACCACAAACTTGAACAAACGGCTGCAGTGAAACATACACCTATACAAACTATGTCATGTACATGTAACTGGTGCTACATCTGATCATGACCTATCTACCAATAAAACAAAAATGAACAAACAATCAAATGTTCAGTGTTGTTTGCTGCTTTAGCAATTTCGCCGCGTGTAAGAACGTCAAATGCAGGTGGGTGTTCGGTTCAACGCGGAAATTTCGAAGTTGGATTTTTTTAGTTCAGTTCGACAAAACCACAAAACAGTTGTTAGTATTTTTTGTCTTGCAAAATCTCGAGGCTGTACTTCCAACATGGCACACATCGGGGTTTGTTTCAACAACAAGGCTCTACTGATTTTTTGCAGTTTCACGTCGGGTTTCTCTGTTTCAAACCTCCAACCGCAGAATGCATAGCGCTAGCCAAACCACATCATTTGGACCGCTTTCGTTGCTTGGCAGGATCTAATGCTAAAGCGCGGCCATTCTGCATTTCCATGGTGGGATTGGACACCGAACCCACCACGTCCGACTAATAGAACGTCCTCCATTTTTCCAGTTGAAGTGGTTTTCATCACCGAGGTCAAGGAAAAAGAGCGGAAAAATCGAATAGAACGTTAAAGGTTGAAAATACGAAACCTGGATTGCGTTGCCTTTTGACAATGCAGTTACGCGCGCAGTTCTCAAAGTCCCCGGCCCAGAGTATTGAGAGCCGTAGCTGCACAAGTAGGCCACGGTGCACACAAGCACACCTCAGTTGCTGGACGTCCCACACTGGAGAGATAAGTGCATCATAAGTGAAAATATACACATGCGTGTGTGTGTGTGTGTGTGCGCACCTTGGACTCAAAGGACGGCTTTCGACGCCCATATATATATATATATTAGAATGCATGGGGGGGCCTGGCCCGTCGCATCTAACCTGGTCCAACGAAGCTGGGAAAGCATCAAGGGACGCCTTGATGCGCAGCTTGAGCTTAGCGTGAACAACGTGTTTTGAAACTAGAGCTGAGGGTGAATTTCCACCGACATGGTGGGCAGAGCAGGCCATAGCGCCTGGAGTCAAGCAGAGCTGGCTGCAGCGGCCACAGCGTTTAAACTCAAAATACTCACCAGCCTTGGCGCCTCTCCCTCCTCCCCTGGTGTGTCCCTCAATGCTTGGGCCCTGGCCGGCAGCACATTCCTACCCGTTTTTCTCTGACGCGTTGCTGGGCAGTGGCGGCGCGCTTGAGAATATCCTTTCCTCAAGGCGCGCAACTGGACGCTTGGCTTGCGTCATAGCTGGGGCTGCCCGCTTCCTTTCTCTGCCAAAATGTCCATAGTGGCAACGCCTTCTCTTTTAAGCGGCGTGTCATAGCTGGGGCGCCCTCCTCTCCTTTTCATCATCTCCTTTTCTCCTGCCCCTCTCCTTGTCTTCTCATCGATCCTGCCTACACCAACCAAAGCTCATAACCTCCGTCGGACGTTGTGGCCAAACATGGATTGGCCCTCTTCACTAGCTGCCATCAACTCAACGCACTAACTTGGTCGTGGGAAGGCGTCGCCAGATCCGAATCCTCGCGTTCACAAGCCCGCCAGTGAAATTCTAAACCTGCGCCTGCATTTGAGCTTGCAGCGGGTGGCTTGTGTGACCTTCCGACCTTCCCATCAAGTGGCATAGAGAGATGCTCCCCCTGTGACTGGGCGTTCAGCTTTAATCATTCAGCACCCCTTTTGTTTTTTGTCCTAGAGTTTGAGCTTAGAAGGCGCTTCTTGTCCTCCTAGCCCGTAAAATTGGGTCCGACCTGGACATCCAAAAGTCCTCCGGCGAGGCTTGACAAGGCAGCAAGTTAAGTAGAGAATCTGGGACTTGGCCACGCCCAACGCATGCTTCTGTAATCAGCGAGGCAGCTGGCAGTCGTCTGACCGCCAGATTGTTGTCTAACTGAGAGGGCCTGATCTGGACGAGCCGATCTGCATTCCGGCGGACCCGAACCCAAAGCCCCAACGATGAGATCCGGGTCTCCTATGTTTCGCGCTGTCACCACAATACTGCGCAAGCCTCCACCGTATAAACCTGCAGACGCACCTCCACAACAACAACAAGGAGGAATTGCCAGCGCCACCGGCGCCACCAACAAAGCGGTGAGAGCACACCTGTGCCCCCACAGGCAGAAGCCAGCCAGTAGGAAGTTTATAAGGCCAAATGGACGACGCGCGGCGGCTGCTCGGGCCAATCGTGTGGAGACCGCAAGGAATATAAGGGATATTTGCATGAGACGCCCCGAAGTCAGACGTGAAAGGAGATCTGAATACTGCATTGAAGCATGAAGGAGTGGATGCGACACAGTCAGTTACGCGCCCCAAGCTATGGCATCTGGCTGTCCAAGCCATAGGTGTAGTCCAGAATCAGGGCCAAGCCTAAGAAACTCATGGCGCCTTTACAATTTGTTCACCCGCTCTCATCTTTCGCTTGAGAAGGTGGCCATATGACAAGGAGACTTTCAAAGAAGAGCGCCATCTCAAGTGGAGCGCGGCCAGCATGAGCTCTGAAAGCTCCTTGTAGCTGAGACCGAAATCTCAATCAGAAGCATCGGGGAAAAACACAAGTGAGACACGGATAGCATAGAGACAGCATGCGGTGCAAAATGAAGTCAAAAGGAAGGAGGAATGAAGGAACAAGGAGAAAAGAGAGAAGAGCGCCAACGTACCTGTGCACATATGAGTGTCCCCAACGCCGAAAGTATTTTGGGTCGGCCCCTATCGGTTTCCACTGTTTGGGAACGCAGGCAATGCCCCCCTTTCAATCAAGAAAGGTTATCGGTATCGCCTTGACCCCTATCGGCTTGCAAGGAGTTCATCAATTCAGGAATACATCAGGCGGCTCATGACTAAAGTACATGTACAAAAGTTGAGTCGGATGCTACTAGTAACAAGAAGCTACTAGTAACAAGGGCATTACTAGTTACTAGTAACAAGAAGCTACTAGTAGATGTCAAAAGGGATACGTGGAGGTTGCGATGTGAGGCTTCTAATGGAAAGACACAGGGTCTATGCGGGGGCCGCGCCGTGGCAATGTGTGCATGAGATGTTCCTAGTAGCGTCCTTGCTCCTACTAGTAAGGCCAGGAGCCCCTGGTAGCGTTCTTGTTCCTAGTAGCGCTGACCCTACCAGCGTCCTTGCTCCTAGTAGTATGGCCAGGAGCCCCAAGTAGCATCCTTGTTCCTAGCGTGAGATGTTTTTGGTTATTTTGGAAAGGCCAACGGATCACGCAACCAAACGACCAACCCAACTCCTGGCACACGCAAGGGTTGAAAGCTCCAGGAAGAGCAGAGACCTTTCGTGAGTTCCAAATTTCTTTACGGTCTGACTACAAACATCTACAAAATAACACAAGTAACGAGGGCATCGCTACTAATGAGTAACAGGGGCATGCGGCATGCCCTTGTTACTATAGTAGGGATGCCCTTCAAAGAAATCTTGCTTCTTCGGTTGCGTCACTTTCTTGAGCCACTCTGGGCCCCAAGCCAACGCATCGGAAGACTTCCGCCTTTGCAAAAGCGGGTGTCGAAGATCCGTTTTGCTCTCCCGCAAATTCCACATATTCCACGTCGACAGACTGCCAAGGCCATCCTCGCAGGCAGGCGCGTTCCCTCGTCAGCAAAATGGCATTCAAAAAGAAAAACTAGTAGCGATGCCAGGAGCCCCTAGTAGCGTCCTTGTTCCTAGGCGTAAAAAGATCCCCAATTTTGGCTGTTTCAGGTCTTTGGCTGTTCTATTTTCTTCCCTCCTGTTCCCTGCTTGTTTCTTTATATTCACTGGTGGGCGCGGAGGACAGCCCACCAGCTGGTCCACAATATGTCATATGTCATACACAGGGCATCAGCATCCTTGCCTCAAGAAACATCACATTAGGCAGTAGGAATACACTAACTTCGAAGCCTGATTTCCGCAACGGCAAAGGGCCGCAAACCCATGAAATGTCCCCCACCGCCCCTGCGTTACTTCCATTATCTAGACTTTCGCAGTGGCCGGCGCACTTGTTGCCGATGTTGGCCATGCCTTTTGGTTGAGACCCCTTGAGGAAGCTCTTTGAGGCCTTCTTTCGCTGAAAATATCTCATCCTTACGCAATCTCTGCGTGGGGAGGGCTGTCGCACCTATTGTCAATTCAATGTTCGTTGCCATCAGACAGTCAGACATGCTTCATGTTTTTCAATCAAAGCAACCATGGAAGACGCAAAGTGAGCGACTGCGAAACAGAAGGTGAAGAGCCAAGTTCCAGAAGTTGACCGCTAGATCTGAATGCTAAGGAGGCAGGGCCACGGGCTTTAAACAATGACAATGACGTTGACTTCCGTTTACTCAATCGCATGAGTGGTAAAAAACGTGCCCACAAGGCATTTGCAGGGTTTGGACTACGTAACCCCAGGTCCAAAGATTGCATCTTACAGCACGGCGACATGCCGACATTCTTTAAGCATACCCGAAACAATATTACACTGTCTATGTCTGCGCCCAAACGAATGGCAAGCCGTCAGCAACGTTTCTCCTGAATAAAGAAAACAATGCTAATGCATCACTACTAGGAACAAGTGCATCGCTACTAGGAGCAAGGGCCTTACTAGCAGTAACAAGAAGCTATTCCAAAACAAGAATTACATTAAATTACTCTAATGCAACTCATTGCGCAACTGGCAAACCCAACCCCCTCGTTCCACTTGCCCCTCTCCTCCTCATCACCTTGCGACTTGGTCGGTGGACACTGGATCGAGACATTTCTTCAAAATGCTATTTGATTTAGATTCATTTCCAACCTAATAGCAATGGCCTCCTTCAAAATGCTTTTGCTCAAGACATTTTGAAACGTTTGGAACCTGCCACCTTGATCTCTTCCTCGTCCAGCCTCGCGTGATCAAAGAATCCACGACACATCGCCGTCCAACCATAATCACATGCGTGCATGTGTCAATTCTCTGATGAGGGAGAGGCAACGCCAACAGCGGATCTTGGGGAGTTCTTCCCATTTTGAGAAAGCTGAGAATCGTTTCACCTGTAGAAACAAGAAGCACCAGATTTCTTTCTCTCTAGTAGCTTCCTTGCTCCGTTCGTAGCGATGCCCTTTGGTCTTCAGACCTCCGGCGTCGCGCCGCGTCGCTTCCGTCGCGTCGCGCCTGTCCAACTTCCCCGCTTTGCGCATGAACGAGGCTTCGCTTTGGAGGAGTTCCGTCGCCAAGACATGAACCAAAAAAAGGAACGACGCCATCTCCGATCTGGCATTAGCAAACCTCAGCTTGAAGGTGCTAAATAGGCAAATTGTTGAAGCCAAGTAAACCAAGGATCGAATTCGTTCCAAGAAGAACCTCTTGAGTCTGGAAATGCTTCAAAAGTAAGAGCTCCTGGGCTAAGAATTGTAGATTCAGATTGGAGGCCGTTGAACGTGTGCAAAAGACAAAAACATATCAAACAGTTCAAGGTTTCAAGGTCAGGGGTTTGCACGTGTCCTGCGCGGCAGCACTGCCTGAAATCCAGCAACTTCCGGCAATCCATTTGACTGAACTAGGAACAAGAAGCTACTAGTAACAAGTGCATCGCTACTAGTAACAAGTGCCTTACTAGTAGTAACAAGAAGTAAGAACAAACATATACAGCGAGCAACAGGTCACAAGGAATTTCCCTCGTCGATGCACTTGGTACTAGTAGCTTCTTGAGTAAGGCACTTGTTACTACTAGCGATGCACTTGTTACTAGTAGCTTCTTGTTACTACTAGTAAGGCACTTGTTACTACTAGCGATGCACTTGTTACTACATTGGGGGAAAAATGGCATCAGCATAACTCCAACTGCACCTACTTGTCTTCCACTGTTCCACATGTCGTCGGGCACTCAGTGCATGACTGTTTTGCAAAGCGCCTTTTGCTGCCTCCACGCAAATTTGGTCAAAACCCATACAAAACCAATGCAACAGAATGAAGACTGACTGCAGCCGTTCTTTCCGGGAAGTTCTCCGTTTGCCACCAATGAAATCAAATATCAAAACAAGGGCATGATTCATGAAACAATATTGATGTGTAAATGCCGAATTGAGGTGCGCAATTCCTTGCAAGTACACCAATGCACACACGAATGTTGATGTTATTCTCGGAATGCCTACATGGCCAAATCACAATGGACATACGCTAAACAATTACAGTAACAGCCTGGACAGGTGCCATATCACAGCACACAGGTGCTCACGAAAGGCAACACTTGCAGAAAAAGAAAAACCAGACCTATGGAACTTACTAGAAAAACACTTAGAGAGAATATATAACTTGTTACCCAGGAACTCGCACGCCACTTTTTCTGACAAGGGACCTGACAGAGTATACAATGCGCTGGGCTACTCTAAAAACAGTGAAAGAGAAACCGGGCAGGGGCTCCTGCCCATACTACTAGAAGCAAGGACCACATATGCAGGTGGTTCCATTGTTTGCCAAATCAGGGTAACTTAGAAGAGTGTCAGTTCATGCGATTCCCAATCGATGGCGAGCTATGAATTCAGTTCCGCATGCAACCTCATGAACATCATCTAGGGCAGAAAAAATTGAAGAAACAACCGGAATGCCAGAAAGGCGAACTGGGAACAATAAGCTCCTAGGAACAAGTGCATCGCTACTAGGAGCAAGTGCCTTACTAGTAGTAACAAGGACGCTAGTAGAAACAAGTGCCTTACTACTAGGATCAAGAAGCTACTAGGGGCTCCTGGCCTTACTAGTAGTAACAAGAAGCTACTAGGAACAAGTGCCACGCTAGTACTAACAGGTGCCTTACTACTAGTAACAAGAAGCTAGTAGAAACAATAGTTCGGGTCCACCTTCGCTTCCTCGCTTCGTCGTTGGTTCCCGCTCTTGGCCTCTCGGAGGAGCTTCCGGCGAGTGGCCGAGGCGATGCTCTCACCAGCCTAGGAGCAAAGGGCCTTACTACTAGGAGCAAAGGACGCTGCTAGGGGCTCCTGGCCGTACTACTAGTAACAAGAAGCTACTAGGAGCAAAGGGCATCGCTACCAGGAGCAAATTGAGAAAAACTGGTCTTTATCTCATGAGGGTTGGAGGCCATCGCTGTTCTTATCTCTATGATATTCTAATTGTCACGCGAAATTGACGAATCAAGCAATAGGAGACAGCTTGGCTTGACACAATTGCCAACATGAGGGCCTACATGCTCACAGCGTGAGAAACCTGTATTCTGTATCCTTTGAAGAATCCTGTGGGTGGAGCTACTGGGGGCTCCTGGCATCGCTACTGGGAGCGCTATTAGGGGCCTCCTGGCCTTACTAGTAGGGACAAGGACGCTACTAGTAACAAGAAGCTACTAGGAACGGTCTTTGAAGTATCTCGTAAGGCACTGTTCCTAGTAGTAAGGCACTTGTTCCTACGAGCAAGATTTATCGGCGCATTTCGAGTGTACCGCTGCGTCGCACGTTGCACGTTCTCGACTTCAAGACCGTCGGGGCGGTGCTACTTTGACTTTCGCTACGCGCCCACTGTATACTCTTAACACTTGCGGTGTCCGATCCACTCTTGGAGTTGGCTTCGAAACTCTTCAGAAACATGAAGAACAAACTTTGTGGGTTTTGTGCATTCACCCAGTGTGCAATAAATTTTGGTTAGAATGATCAGAGAGAGGATCGACATAGGTAGCAGTCAGGACACATCAAAATGCAAGCAATGATGTGAAAGGATGTGAAAGCAAAGCGTGCGGCCAAGAAAAATAACAGAAGAATTGAACTGGGGGGGTTGACGGTGTAGATAGCTAAGCTAAGCAAATAACTGGGTAAGTGCGGTAGAAAGCGATCCAAAAGCTACTACCGATCGGACGCAGGAAAGCTTAGGCTTTCTGGAAGAACCCGTCGCACTGTTCATTTGGTTCCCAGATTTTGAGGGAAATGTAACTACTAGCGATGGCCTCCAACTTAATAACGATGGCCTCCAGCCTAGATTTTGGGGGAAACTTGACGTGAAATCTTCTTGGGACTCAAATTCCTGTCTTCTTCGTCTTGAACACATGCCACATGCATGACATGTGCTTACACAGTGAACGTAGTGAACGTGTGTTCATACACATCGCATGTAGATTGCACAGGTGACTGCATCCAGCTGGAGTCATCTATATCTTTGATCTTTTTGGACGAACAATCTGCTTCCCTTTTTGCCGTCTTTTTCATACTTATCATACTTAAACATTAACACTTCTGTAGGACGGGTTGGAGGCCACCGCTTCCAGTAACAAGAAGCTACTAGGAACAAAGGGCATCGCTACCAGGAGCAAGAAGCTAGTAGTAGCTCCTGGCATTGCTAGTTTTAAAAGAATTCTTCTGTTCCTCTTTTGCAAATGTGCCGAACAGAAGTGTCCTTTCCTTTGTTCTCTCAGCTTTGGGCGGCGATGTTTTCTCGCCCGAAGTCTCGCAGCAACGCTGCTGCACCCAAGGCCACACGTAGAATCGAGGCCTCCGCTGCTCCACGGACCTCAAAACCGAACGATTCAAATTAGTAGCGTCCTTTGCTTTTAATTACACTTAATTCTATTTACTTATTGATGCTTACTTATTAAGTCTAATTCTAATAGCAAACATTGTTACTACTAGTAAGGCCCTTGTTACTAGTAGCGATGCCCTTTGCTCCTAGTAGCGTCCTTTGTTATATAAAAAACATGTTTAAGATTTTAAAAAAAGAATTCAATGCGTTTTTTGATCCAAATTCACTGTGTTTATTTTTGGTATGGTGTGTCAAGTTTCAACCTCCAAATGAACAAGCCATGATTCAGCATCTGACCAAGGCTGCTTCTGCTCCATCCATCCCATGTGGCCTTTGAGGACCACGGCTTCTGCTATTGTTTCTTTTAGTTCGCCCTCACTAAATAGGCGTCCACATGTGCCTACCTAATTAAGGGAGTAAGCCTCTAGCTACTGGACGCACGATATCTCACGCTTAGATTCTTAAGGGATCTTAGGGGAACTTAACAAGTGCATCCCATGTTCACCCGACCATACTTGACGCAACATTCTTCGCGGCGGAATGGAGCACTCCAAACCGGCCTCGACGCAAGTTCACAAAGAAGGCAACACACGTCCAATGTTTCTGCCTTAGTAACAGGGGCAATACTACTAGTAGCTAAGGCATTATTACTAGTGGCAAGAAGCTCCTAGTAGCCAGGGCATTACTGCTAGATTCCAGCTAAGGCCCTTTCATAGCAAGCAAAGCGAGAGAGAGAGAGTATTCTCACAAAGTCGGACAGTGAGCTTCTAGTCTCTATACCTCATACCGTCTTCGAAGCAGGTGAAATGATGTGAAATGCATTCTGCACGTCTTCTAGGAGCAAGAAGCTAGTAGAAACAAGCGCCACGCTAGTAGTAACAGGTGCCTTACTAGTAGTAACAAAAAGCTAGTAGTAACAAGGGCCATCGCCCGCTCCCTCCCTACTACGCTAGAGGCCATCGCTAGTCGGCTTGGAGGCCATCGCTATGGAGGCCATCACTTGTTACTAGTAGCTTCTTGTTACTACTAGTAAGGCACCTGTTACTACTAGCGTGGCACTTGTTACTACAAGCTTCTTGGTACTACTAGCCCCTGCTCACCTGCTCAGCCGTCTCAACACACCTGTCTCACATCAAGCCCTGCTCAGCTGAGGCCAAAGACGGCAGCTGTGAAGGCCGTCTGACGACGAGCGGTGTGGCAATACCGGTGTATCGAAACAGAAACAGAACGAACCAGAAAAGAAAATGACAAGGAAAGACAACCTAAGAGCGATGGCCTCCAACCTAGTAACGATGGCCTCACCTCCAACCTACAAGCGATGGCCTCCAACTGGAGAAAAGGCAATAACATCAACACAAAAGATAAGAAAGCAGAGCAATGGAGCAATGAA